GAGATTTTCCTCTATTTGAACGCCCTAAATGATTACTTTTTAAAATATATGTATAATGCATTTCTGAAGGCACACACACATTTCTATACAGTAAAGATTAAATATAATTATTTAAAATTCTATTACAACATAACTATACTATTATATACTATTAAAGAATACTGTATTCTTTGATAGTATTGGATAATCATCGCGTTAAGTACCCACTATCGCCTTCTGGTGGTCCCGGTAGTAACAAAAATGAAACTGGGTAGGTAAAAAAGGGAACTTATGTGCTTCCTTGTATTTTTTTATTCTGTGGCTAAACAGCTGATCTGCTATTCTTTGAGGTTATATAATCTTTAATTGCATAAAAGATGGTGATATACGGTGTTTATATCGTATCTAAATCAGGAGGTTTAATTTTTAACCATGATCACAACATTCCCAAAGTAGAAAATGAGAAAACATTTAATTATCCGTTAGATATCAAATTAAATTATGAAAATAAAAAGGTAGTTGTGTCTTTTGGTCAAAAAGATGGTATAAATGGTAAAAGATTATCTATTTCTATTGTATATATTACATTATTTTTGTCATATTATATTTCATTTAATAATTAGTAAAATATTCTCTATATACAGTAGGACATATGTTAACCGCTGTAAATGGTAGTCCTGTTATTGGCAACGAATTGGAAGATGGAAGGGACGTGCTGGAAATATTAAATCAACAGGAAAATTTTCCTATAACATTGAAGTTTAGTCGTGCAAAGATGACCACTAATGAGAAAATTTTTCTAGCATCTATGTTTTATCCTCTGTTTGCGATAGCCAGTCAGTTGAGTCCTGAACCCCGATGTTCTGGAATTGAAATTTTAGAAGCAGACACATTTCGCTTGTACTGCTATCAAACGCTAACCGGGATTAAATTTATGATAGTGGCTGAGCCATCGCAGTTAGGAATGGAAATATTAACTAAAAAAGTATATGAACTTTATGCAGATTACGCTCTCAAGAATCCATTCTATTCGTTAGAAATGCCAATAAGGTGTGAACTTTTTGAGACTAATCTGCAATCGTTGCTTGAAACAATAGAGAAATGCGGTATAAGTAGTATTTAAATTAACTCGATATTTCGAACCCATGTATATGTAAGTATGTATTGTGTATATGTATATTTGATATGATCTTATTATAAATATATGAAAATAATATTTTATGAGTAATTGTAAAAGACATAAAAAAAAGTAAAAAGTCAAATGGATAAGTTATACACGGACGAATAAAACTTCATAATTTTTCTAAATAATTCAATATGCTTATTAATATGCTTAAATTTATTACGTTTATATCTTAATTATTTTCTTTGAGAAATAAATAAATTTATAGTTGCGTTAGCGTAATAGAGATTTTTGTTATTAAGTTGGTAGTGAAATGTATTACTTGGCAGCCCTGCTCTCGTTCATAGTTGCAAACAAATATGGTTGCACACAGTTTCACGAATTGATTCTGATAGAAAATTTTTCTTTTTCATTGTAATAGAAGAATATTTGTACAACTGTAATAACATTAATCATGGAGTTAGGATTGTCAAGTACGTTATTAGCAGGTGATCCACGTCTTGTGGATCATATCGTTGGTGAAGTTAAATCACAAGGTATTTTTGATCAATTTCGTAAGGAATGCATAGCTGATGTTGACACAAAGGTATATTATCATTTATATCTACATATTTTTCTTTAATCATTGTCGTTCGAATAATATTTATGTAAGATTTTATTTTAGTCTTGTTAAACAATAAGTAATTGAATTTCATCTTTCATAGCCTGCGTATCAAAATCTACGTACAAGAGTTGAGGGATCTGTCAATTCATTTCTCGACAAACAACTATGGAAACCAGAACTTAATAAAAATCAAGTTAGAGAAACATTGCGTAAACATATACACGAAGCACCATATTTAGATGTCGGAGTTGAACGTATTGTTGATCAAGTAGTAAATCCAAAGGTCTTCTCCGTATTCATGCCTCAAATAGAAGACGTCGTATATAAGTTTTTGGGTTTAGAAAGACCAAAAATTAAAGAAAAATCTAGTGGTTGTGGACTCAAAGATTTATTACCTAAGGATTTAGATCCAGTTTCACCGGAATCCGACAAGAACAGTTTGAAAGATGTGTCACTTGAATCTGTAGATGCAATAGATGATCTTGTTGTTAAGCCGGATGAAAAATCTGAACAATCATTTGATGAACATAAGTTAGAAATTGTTGAAAAATATTTGGAAAGAAGTAAAGATCAGATATCTGAGAATGGACATGCTTCCTCAGAAGAAAAAGTACTGGGCGAAGAGTGTATTGATTTTAATAAGACTGTTAGTAATGTAAATTTAAATACTTCTGGAAAATCAGATGACAAAATTGACGAAGAAGAAGAAGATAGTCCGACCTTCGAGCCGATAGATATTATGAATTTAAATGAATCTAATATATCTAATGATTCACATCTATCTGGTATATCCGAGTTAACAAGTCATAGATCCAGAAGTCCTAATTTCTCCAACGAGGTATCACAAGATAATTATGATTGCAGTAATCAAGATTCACAACTTAGTAAAGTTTCCTCTGATTCAAGATTATCAATTGTAACTGATTTTGGATTATCTAATCATGCTTCAACACCAATACACGATGGCATTAAAGAAGAGCCTGCTAAAGATAAGTGTGAAAATAAAACCACAAAAGATAATTTTCGAGCTCTTAGAGAATTTGAATCTTTTAAGAATAAAAATAATAAAAACATCGTTGAATCGAAAAAATGTAAAGAAAGTGGGAATGATTTAAAAGATACAAAAGAGACAACAAAAAGCATTAAACTGAATTTACCATCCAAGGAAAATTCTAGCGATGCCACGGATAATAGTACAAAAGACAAATACGACAGTAAAATATATAAAGATAAGCATAAAGACAGCGAAAATTCAAAATCTAAATCTACAAAAGAAAAAATCTATTCCAAGGATTCAAAATGTAAGGAAAAAGACAATGAGAAAAAGAAGCAGAGTAGTCATAGTAGTTCCAAGCACGATAAGCATATTAAGGGTAAGGTTAAAGATAAACCTAGTCAGACAAAGGATGCAGTTGAAAAAGTGAAAGATAGCAAAGATACTGTTACAGATAATATAAATAAAACTAAGGAAGATAAAGTTAAAGAAATCGATAAAAAAGAAAGTAGTACCAACAAGGAAGCAAAAGATTTGAAAGATCTTTATAAAGAAAAAATTAGAGAACTTAGAGAGAAGAAAGAATTAACCGAAAAAGAAAAATTAAATAAGGACAATGTTAAGTCCAACAAAGAATCAAAAGATAAAAAGGATTCGACTAAGGATAAGAAGTCTTACAAAAAAGAGCATAGAAGTTCTACTTCCAAAAGTCACGACGAAAAAAATCGTCATGAAAACAAAGTTAACAAAGGGTCGTCTGACAAAATTTCAGATATTAAAGAAAAAAAATCTGAATCTAAGGAGAAAACAAAACGTGACGAACGTGGTTCGAAAGATATTAAGGATAAAGGTAACGTCGTGAAAACAGAATCTTCAGGTAAATCAGATAAAAATGATTTAAAGAAAACGTCTAAGAATGGTAAGGAAGAAAAAATAGAAATTAAAAAAGATATTAAGATCAGCAGCGATAAGATTTGTAAAAAGGATGTACGTACTCAAGCGCAAAGTAAAACATCAGACCGTAATGAAAAGTCTATAGATATTACGAAAAAAGATTCAAAAAGTGATGCCCAAGGTAAGGAGAAAAAAAGGAGAGATGATAAGAAATCAAAAACAAAGGATGACCATTCTAGTCTACGGAAAAATTCAAATGATCGTCGTTCTACGGACAGAGATGGTTCCAATGGATCTAATAGCAAAAGTTCACAATCTAGTACTTCTAGTTCTAATGCTACTACCAGTAAATCAAGTTCTTCTGGATTAACTAAAGATACCAGTCATATGAGTAATTCAAGCAGCGAAACATCAGATAGCATAGGAGAAACGCAAATAAATAGAATGAAACTTCAATTGCAAAATGAAAATTATGATGAAGTAAATAAAGATAATATAAATCTCACTGATACCGAATCATACTGTGATCAAGACAATAGTTTTGAAGATGTTCAATTAATGGAAACACAATCAAGTGAAAACAATTTACCATTAAAAAAAAGACCGTTACTTGATGAAAATGATTTAAATTCTTCGAGCGAAATGAAAATGAAAAAACCTAAATTTGCAAAAAACATACACGAAGCTAAGAAGCTAATGAAAATTAGGAAACAAATGGAGAAACAAAAGCAGAAGGATGATAAGAAAATAGAGAAGAAAATGGAGCAAATAATGTGTCCAAAGTTAGAGAGCAGTGGAGATGATTTGACTGCTGTTCCGGATGAAGAACGCGTACAAATAATAGAAGTACCAGATGAAGAATACGAAGAACCTTACCCCGATCGCCAAATGAGTTTAACATTAGAACAACGTTCAATGATATTGCTAGAAGGAGAACTTCATGGTACAGATATATTACCAAAACGACCTAACTCAACGTCAAAACTATCTGCCTTGGAATTGTGTATAAAACAATCCTTAGATGAAGCAATATGCCATACAAAATTGCAAGAACAAGAAGCTAATGCAGAATCTCGGCCTCTAACATTAAATAAAATTTGTAAAGATGATCTAGCTTCAAGTAGTAGTAAAGACAGTTTAGAAATTAAAAATTATGATAAAGTACTGAAAATAGTAAGAACAACTTCTGAAACATTTCTTGACGCAAATCAGAGTATAGACAAAGTGAAGTCAATAAATACCATTACTGAAAATGGTAGTAAAATAAGAAATCAAATAAGTACAACTGATACGAATATTAGTGTAGAACACAGTGCAATATGTAATGAGAGAAGTGATAAAGCGTTTGAACAACCAAAATCTCCTACCAGAGATATTACAGAATATAATGAACTTGATGAACAATTATCTGGACAAGCAATTGCACAGTCTTCCAAGAATGAATTTGTACCAAAAGTTAATGACGATTATGAAGATTGTAGATATTTCAAACTTGATAATGAAGAATCAGATAAATTTTTTAGTTTTTTACATTCGTTAGAAATGGTGAAAGGTAATACTCTAGAGGATATAATAGAAGATTTAGGAGGTCAGATAGTATCATCCGGCTCAAAAACAATGGCGCCGCCAATGCCAAAAAGAAAACATTCAGGAAGTCCGTTAACAGACATACTATTCAATAACTCAAATAATAATAATGACGGTCTGAAAATATCAATGCCAAATGATCATTCTTTAAATGCTATGAAAAAAAGAAAAATAATTGCTTCAAAAAAGCAAAGACTTCATGCTAATCCTTGCATTTCGCAAAGCCTTTTAAATGGAGAAAATTTTGTAATGCCCCTAAGTCCAGAAAGTGATGTATCAGCAACTAGCGAAAAAATTCCATCATCTAATATAATGAAAGAAGAAAAGAGGTAACTCCTTAATACTTGTCCCATATTTAAGTAGTGAAAATGATCATTATATCATATTTCACAACGTTTAATACTTACAGTCGGCATAGGAGCAGTCAACGATATTCAAGTGATGACTTGTATAAACCACGTCCATTGTTTTCAAGTTCTTCTCGTCGGAGTAGAAGAGTTAATCAAGTGTAGCTAGTAACTCATGGCTTCAGATGTTGAATCATATTTGTTCTCTGTATAATACAGAATTGAGCCATTTTATTTTTTTAATATAATCTTGATATTATATTTAAAACATAAAGTAATGTTTTACAATCTATTCAATTTGGCTGATTAATGTAAACAAAATTATGAGCTTTATTTTTAAATTACATTGTTATATGTAATTATTATAATCTATATCAGAAAATTTTAAATGACAACAAATACTGAAGCCGTAGATATATTTTAGACTGTTGTTCCTTAGGACTATGTATTTATTGTATAATAAGTATGAATGTTTTATAAATACTGATTTATTTAATAATTTCATACAAAGAAGTGTTGAATAGCACAACTGCATTGAAATAAATATTAATTAACTCGAGCTATGTAGAAACAGAAATGTATATTTTTCAATATTTGCATATCTGAAATGGAATGCTCAAAATTTCTACAAACGTTTTACATGCTTATTATTGCATTATGTGTATACATTTGTATAAAGTAATTTTATTTAAAGCAATAGAAAGAAAAAGAAAAAATTTGTCGTGTATTATTTTTTTTTTTATAATATAAAGACAGTTATTTCTTTTTTATATACTTAAAACAAATCAATATATATACATATTACTATAGAGTAATAAGAGTAAACTGTATTTTATCGTTATAATCAATCTGAATAAAAACTAAGTCGTGTTATTTTACTAATTGTATAACAAAATGTAATAATAACATAAGTTATTGAAGGAGCAAAGTAATAATAGTAGATACGAAACAATACCTTTTTTATCGAATTATTAAAACATATAATATCTAAATGATTTGTAAGATTCGCTGTGATAAATTATTAGTAAATTGAGAAACATTAGTAACGGCGAACCAAATCACGTTTAAATGCCATATTTTGCGGAGTTGATCTATGTACTATTTCTACAATAACTGTATTATTAATATTGTATATTTGTAAGTTGTACAAATATTGTATGTGTGTATATATATATATATATTTATATATATGTGTACATATATATATATATATATATATATACATATATTATTTATATAGGTTTGTACCTGTG